TGCAATAGTTTCAACCGTTGCTAGTATACATGCAGTTGCTAGGCTTCAACATTGTATCCCATGATCCAACGTGTTATCATTTAAGGATGAACATGCTTACAGCGATTGCGCGTAAACATTATTCAACAAACGCAAAACAATGTTGAGCGCATGTTGAGTGTACGTGTTGGGAGTGTTTGTATGCAGCGTAACGACGTATTCTAAACTACATGCAATAGATATTATCTTCAACCGAAGGAAGGTTTGAAGCCAGTCACACGATATAAAAGATCACTATTTTGAAATATGAATTGTTATTTGACTTACCATCACGAGCCATAGAATCATACGTCCACATCGCCAGAAATTCGTAGTGGTTCAAGTTAAAATTCGGCCAACAGTTCTTCTTTATGCCATTTTCTTTTCTTTGAGATAAACTTTGTGATGACGAAATAGTAATAAGTTCGAAATACAACGGTATTGTTGTCTCCTCTTATACAACGAATTAAAATGGTACTGTCTTCTGAGTTTGTTTCATTTTACATAGTGTTTCAGCATCCACTATAACTCGTTCAATAATCTTGTATTTGGTTTGGCAGCCATTCTGCAAGCAAAGAAGTCAATCATAAGTTATAGCCACACCTTGGAATAGTTTGTTTGTACGTAAAGGTTGTTGCAAAAAAACTGCTTGTGTTTGAAATCATTCGACATTTAGAATTTGCTCGATTCAGGAATAGTTAATCTCCAAAGAGCAATAACATTGAAAGAAAAACATTTTTTGCATTCAACATGAAGGATTAGCTTAGAAAAAAATTTTATGCTTCAGCCCATGATGGTCAATTAGTAAATAAAGCAACCTCAAAACTGAATGGCAATTCAGAAAGAAAAACCTCTCATTAATATTTACGTTATACGTCGGTTTCAATAAGTTTTTCCATCTACTATTAATCATACTATTAATATATTCTTCAGTTTTAATTCCGCCATGTTAATTAGAGGTCAGATGCAAAAGAATTTTGTCATCATCTATTAATATATTCTCGAGTTTACATTACGTCATGTTGGATGTCTGATGCAAAAGAAAATGTCGTCATTTCTATTTTGTGAGCTTTAGCAAGCGTGGGCGATAATAATTGTTTTCCATGGACCATATGGTTAATTGCACCAAAAATTAGCACTACTACTTATCCAATCCTTTTATCTCATCTCAGAATTTACTTGTTCAATATATAGCTTTATATTGTATATTAACGTCACAAAAAATTTCTTGCTTTCAAAAAAAAAGCAAACAGCAAAATTATTTCAATATTTACCTAAATTTATTCCTGAATGAGCAAATGAAGACATTCAAAAGGACCTAGTTGAAGTAGTCGACGTATTTTAGCAAAAAGAAAAGATAAAAAAAAGGTTTGCAAACGTTGATTTATACTTTGTCGTCTACAACAAAATTTAACAAAATTGATAAGCCATTGCTTGCTTATTCTGTGAGCCAATCACATTATGCACATGACAAGAGCTAGCCAATAGCATTTCTTTAGTCCTATGTACGCGTGATATTTGCAAAACCATGACTTTATCAATTTTGATTCTAAACAAAATTTTGAGTGAAGGATATACAGTTTTTCTATTCGAGAAACGACTTCAATTTTTCATTCATTTTAATGAAAGGTTGTTAACTATACGAAATTTCAAAAGAGCTGGCCAATAGCATTTCTTTAGTCCTATAGATCATGTACGCGTGAGATTTGCAAAAACCATGACTTTATCAATTTTGAATTTTCCAAATAAGTGTGCTGGAAAAGAAAAGCAACTTGTTTGCCAGTCAAATTTTGGGAATTGTTTCAGTGTCAAATATGATATGTTTATAAAAAAGCTCAATTGCTTTACAAACTGCTGTTGTATATTGAAAAATATTTTTATTTAGGCAATTAGCTACTTGGTGCAGTTGAAAGTGATGATCTATGAGTAAAATGCTATAAAACCATTCAAAGCTAAAATATATTCTAGCGAGCCTGTTTTGCAGCAGTTAAGCAAGCTTCAATCATGAATGTTTTTTTTGTTCTTGAGGTTCACAAAGACTATTAGACAAAGAAGTGATTTTTCTATTTAACATTCTTTTCTTCGTCTTTCAGCATTATCCATAAATGACTTAAATCATTTCTTTATAAATGTTTGATAAATGTTTTGCATTCGCCCTTATTGCATTTTATTTTTACCTACATCTGCATTCTGCCATATACGTTTGTATATTGTAATTGTGCCGCCAATCACACGATATAAAAGATCAATATTTTGAAACATTAAGTATAATTATATGCCTAATTTACCATCTTGAGCCTTAGAATCAACTTCAAACGTTCACATCTCCGAAAACTCTTAGTTGTTGAGGTTAACATTTCGTCCCACAGTTGTTCTTTATGCCATGTTTTTTTGTTTAAGATAAAATTGATGATGATGAATTAGTTATATGATCAAAATACAAAACTGTATTATTGCCTCTTCACATACAATGAATTAAAGATGGTACTGTCTTCGGATTTTGTTTAAACTTAGCATATTGTATATTAGCTTCCACTACAACTGGCTCAATAATCTTGTGTCGGGATTAGCAGCCATTCTGCCAGAATGGAGTCAATGATAAGTTAACCACACCTTCCTACAGTTGTAGATTTAATATTTACGGGCTCTCAAAAACCGCTCATCTTCGAAATTAGCCGAAATTCATTCAGAAATAATATATCCCCAAGGAGCAATAACATTGTAAAAAAACGTGTATTTTTGTATTTGAGATGAAGGTTAGCTGAGAAAAACATGTTATGCTTCAGCCCATGTTTAATTAGTAAATAAAATTACCTCAGGGGCTGTTTACATGAGCCCGGTAATCGGGATTAGGCGAGGCGTTAAATGAATTTGAAGTCATTAAAAAGAGCAAAAACTTAAAGCGCAAAACTTACAACCATTTCTTAAGCGTCATAAGTCATTTTAGTTGTATTTTAAAATCAGGCTAAATTTTTTGGTTTTAAATTTAAAGGTTTTCTGAATTTGCAGATTCAGAGCATAGAGAAATTCGTCAACAATTTTTTGTTGTGAAGTATTTAATCTTTTCCATTACCAAAATGATTTAACGCTTTGCTGAATACCGGCTACCGTGCTCATGTAATCATACCCTCGAAACTGAATTGCAATTCGAAAAAAAAAATTCTAATTAATTAAGTTATACGCCTGTCTCAAGAAATTTTGACCATTAATATATTCTTCAGTTACAATGCCGCTATGTTGGAAGTCAAATACAAAAGAATATATCCGTGAGCGAACGTTATTGTGTTTTATTGGCCCTTTGATTGATTGAAATTGAAACCAACAATTCTTGAGTTTTGATTCCGCCATGTTGGATCACAAGAATAGATTATGATTATCAATGCTATTGCACTACTACGTATCCAATCTTCTTATCTCATCTTAGTATTTACTTGTATAATATAAAGTTTTATATGACATATTAACGTCACAGAATATGTCTAATTTAAATGGCGAAATTATTTAAATATTTCCCAGAATTAGCAATTGAAAACTGTTAAAAAGACCTAGTCGAAGCGTTTGACATATTTTAGCGAATTCCATAAGCAAAAATGCTAAAAAAACAATCAAAGATAAAATACATTCTAGTTATTTCGTAGAGCCTGTTTACAACAGTAAAACAAGCTTGCTTGAAAGTTTATTTTTTTGTTCTTGAGGTTACGAAGACAAAAAAGTCAGATTATTCTATGCAATCTTCATTTGTTCTTCTTTCAGCTTATTTAAGTCATATCCTTGTGTTTATCTCAGTGCTAATGATGCATATGTTTCTTGCCTTTCGTTTTGTCTTTGCTTATGCTTATTTCACTCGTGTGAATCACAAATCAAATACTCTACTGAACAAATACTTTTTGGTATCTCGAATCACTTGAATTTCTCCTATTTTTGTTCAGCATTCTCACCAATATACACATTATTTTTCTATCCAATAATCCATAAATCAGAGGATTTAACGAGTGTGAGCCAATAATACGGACGGAAAAAGCAATTTTAAATTAGTTGAGGCATTTGGTGAAAAAGCGTTTTGATTTTAAATTCGTTTGCAGCCAAATAATAAATATGACCGACTGCAAAGCAGAGAACCGTGCAGACGCAAACGAAAAATGTCTTACGATCCTGATTGTGTCTTTGAAGACTTGAGCTGGTGAAGGATTTTAGACGAGACTGTGATGCATTCGAAAATGTTCTTAGTACTTTTCTTTGTTTGCTCAATGTTCTAGCGATTATGGAGTAAGTCACAGACATGAATATTATTGGAAAAATGTAGAAACAGGCATAAAACGCAGACAATTCGTAAATGTAACGAAGGCGTTTAGGATCCATACTCGAGGATGCACTCTCGCATTGTCATTCCAACAGTTGCGACCAAACCAATGATGTACGCTAAACCACAAACGATTTTTATCTTCAGTTGACTGAGAGAAAGTTTCAATGGACAAACTATCGCACGATAACGTAGAACGGAAATGAGCATCATGATACAAACTCCGCTTACTTGAAAGAAAAAATAAATGTCATTTATACTTAAGCAGTTAAACAATATTAAAGCGCTTTTAAGAAAGTTATCCAATATCAAATGGAGAAATATGCTCAACATTGTAAATACGTCACATATCGCGAGATGCAAGACAAGAAAGTAGAAGTTCTTCTTTAACAAACTCTTTCTTTTTAATATCGAAGCGATCACAAGGGTATTTCCAACGATGCCAAATGAAGATATTGCGACAATGAAAAATATAAAAGTTTCCATAGCGATAAGATTGATATATCTGAGCTACTTTCTATGAAGTGCTCTTCTCTCCTATATATTCCACTTTGCAAATGCAATACAGAGCTGTGTGTTCAAGCTTTTCAGTGGAGTCTCAAAACTCGATAAAATTTTGCCTTGTTGCATTTTGTTTCCAACTACATCTGCATTATACGTCCGTATATTGTAATTGTGCTTGAAATGTGCGTTAACATGGACCTATTAAAATTCACAAAAGCTCGTTATAAATTTACATAAGCCAGCGACAAAGAGCGTTATCGCTTTCGCAGTAATTCCTTTTCCAGCGAATAAACGCCGCATCGCAGCTGTGTCAAGCACATTTTCAAAACGAAACAAACGCAAAACCAATTAGGTTTGCCATTCTATAGGACGAGAAGTCATAATTGCACTACTAATTTGGACTAAATTAAAGTATTTAAAACTGTCGATGATCTAACGAATCAAACGTTGAAATTGACAAATTTGCGGCAAGACTTTTTTGCAACAATTTAATTCAATGAAGAATTTATCGCTCACGAAAATGTCTCCATATGTAGAGATTTTCGAATATCTTATATTTAAGGTATTCCGTCTCTACAGGGTGTCTCAAAAACTGCTCATGCAGCCGGCGTTTTACAATTAGCATGATTTAGCAGTAATTGATCTCCAAAATATCTTCAAAGGTATTTGAAAACAATAATACATACGAATTGCGACAACTGTTCATTGCAAGTTTCAAGCACGAAATTCATTTCAATAGCATCTATGCCTCTTTGGGGATTAGAAATTAGCTACTGAATCATGCAAATTCTAAATGTTGGCTGATTTTAAAGATGAGCAGTTCTTCTGAGACGGCTGTAGTTCGCTGAAAATTTTGACGACCATATTCATATATTTGATCGGCGCATTTCACTTGCTGCACCACAGGACATCTAACCTCCTGTTTGCGTTCCTCATACTAAATATTGTCTCGCTGATTGTGTCGGAGATTTACAAAAGAATAAGATAGTTATAAGATAATTTTACGTGTCTAAAAATACATGAAAATAAAAACTACGACTTTGGAAATCGACAGCGAAGTTTAGTGGAATTATTAGTTATTAATTTCGGTTTGGAAAAACGAAAAATGCCGATTTTGGCAGCATTTACACTTTGAGAACTACAAGAATCTTGACTTTTACAAAGATTTTCGGAGACAACACGGAGCACAGCACATTTGCCGCCATTTTGAATTTCTTAAAACGTGTCCTTGAATTGGACATCTACTTGCATCGTTCTTATTGAAGCAATGGTTCTTTTACAGAGTTTTCAGTGGTTTTCAATCACACCCCACTATGTAAGCATTACAATTAATGGCTAGCAGGAATTGGGTATGAAGACGGTAACAAACTGTTCGTTAAAATTGATCTGACATTCAAAGCCACAAAGCCAAAGTCCTAAGTCATGAGCAAAATTCGCGCAGGTTAGTGTACCGCGTGACTAAGACCGTCGTCAAGAGTTGTGGATTAGAAAGAAATAAGGACAACAGCTGAATGATTTTATTTGTCCTACACGGTTGTGCAAAAAATTTCTTTGAATGTAATTTCCACGCATTCTAAAAGATCAACTCGAAAACATTTTCTAACAAAAAGCATTTCAACGTGGTAATGACAAAAGCTTTGAAGAGCCCCTCCCACCTCGCCCCCAAAACAATATCAAACTATCATGGATTCATGATGGTGGACCCCACCCAATCCCTTTCTCCGTAAGACAACGTACGCTACAACAGAAGGTTGTAAACAGAATAAGTTTCCGTTTCAAATAAATTAAACAAGGAATTGATATTTCACTAAAAAGTAGAGTCCTTCATGATTTTTTTTATACACATATTAAATCATTCTTGGTTTGATAAAGCAGCTAATGATTATACAGAGTTATCATTCGGTGGCGAATCTAGGGTAAATCAACACATTATGCCAATCTACAATTGAAAATACTTCGAAAACGACGTTGTTGGTTAGAAATTTCTAAACATAAAAATAATGCCAACGTGACTCATTGTAAATTATTTTTGATTGGAAAAAATACTAACAGTAATATAAATTTCGACCTTTCCAGGTTCGGAACTGTTACCACTTTCTAGCATTCATTATATTATTTGGCCATTTCGAAGAAATTTCGAAACAGCAGATTTCTAATGCAAAATAGTCTGAGCGAGCTTACAAGTTTTTGGGCAAGTTACAAAATCATAAGAATACTTAGGCCATGTGCGAAGCACGTGCGTTTTATATTCACAACCCACACGTGGATTGTATTACCCAACAAGGATAATTGAATTTTTTCCCTCCTTCAGCTTACATCCTGGGAACTTACGTATCATACTTTTCCCACAGCGGCGACCAGTTCTTTCGCCAAAATTGAATTGATTGTCATTTTTTCGCAATTCACCGTAATCCTACTCTCTTTTCCATACTCCTTAAGTTCGACAGTTATCAATACGGGGACCCCGGATGAAGTAGCCGACCCAGAAAACCTATAATAATTAAGCTGCTATTTCTGGGTAATGCCGCTACACTCGCACAACCCAGGATTTTCGACGCGAGCACGCGTTCCTCGCAGTTCTCCTGCGGGATATCCACAGTCAGAGAGCTTTCATTCATACCCGACAACTTCTCTGTGAACGAAGATAATTTAAGGTAAGTCAATATTTCTGTAATAATTTCATTTTACATGCATTTGTATAAGCAAGATAAAAATTTATAACCGCGATACTTACTTTGCAAAGTAAGAAAGTCATTTTCAGTTATCGGCCTCGCGTGAAGCTGTTCTCCCATCGGGCATTTCAACTTGACAGTAAACTTATCGGACTTCGTGCTGGTGAAAAAGAGATCAATTTGAACGCATGATAAAGTTTTGCTGCTAGGTATTCTAAATTATCCTCTTATGTTAAGCTTGGGTGCCTTATATACACAGAGTGGTGCGCTGGGTCTGGAGGGATATGTTGAGTCATATGAGTTATCTGATGTTGAAACTTGAGTTCTTATAAACTCCAGTCTAGTGTCCTCATCAGGAGTGACGTAATGTTGAAACTTGAGTTCTTATAAACTCCAGTCTAGTGTCCTCATGTGAGTGACGTAATGTTGAAACTTGAGTTCTTATAAACTCAAGTCTAGTGTTCTATCAGGTGGTCTTGAGTTCTTATAAACTCCAGTCTAGTGTTCTCATCAGATTGTTGAAACTTGAGTTCTTATAAACTCCAGTCTAGTGTTCTCATCAGGAGTGACGTAATGTTGAAACTTGAGTTCTTATAAACTCCAGTCTAGTGTTCTCATATCCAGGAGTGACGTAATGTTGAAACTTGAGTTCTTATAAACTCCAGTCTAGTGTTCTCATCAGGAGTGACGTAATGTTGAAACTTGAGTTCTTATAAACTCCAGTCCATCATCAAGGTGAGTTGACTAACGTATGATCATCACTTATACATTGACTTGTTTTTATGCTAAATCCAATGACTTCAACGGAAATATTTTGATGATAAAAGATAATTAATAATTGATAAAAACAGTAACGCGACATACCATATCTCAAAACTAACTGGTTGTATAGTATCCTTAAAATCTATCCCCATGCTCACGGTGACTGTAGAACCAATACCGATCGATTCTAAACAAGAGCAAAGCAACCCCATCCCAATTATTATGGGTGGTTTAAATATTTTCTAAGCGACAACTCACCAATCTTAGGAAAATCGGCTATTTTCTGCCGAGTCCCACTTTCTAAGACGAGAAAACAAACAGAGTCTCAGTAAGCACATTTCTACTAACGACTATGACTTACAATGCAATTTACCTTCTCGCCAACGTGAATGTTTTCAACATGAACTGCCGCTGTTAGTAAATGTTACTTCAACGGCGACCATCGTAGTCGAATACAGACACGGACTCCGGGAACTTGTATTGAGCCTGCAATCCACGACCAGCCATCTTATTGAGCAGTTCATAAGTCCTCAATTGGAGAAGTCCGTTACGACCTACATGAGAAAGTCGGCTTGAGGCATGATTTGATCACGTGTCATGTCATGCGCAATTCAAGTAGGCGATTGGCTGTGTTGCTATTCATCTGTAGCCTTTCATTGTTATATCAGTTGAAAAGGACCTCGTCCTTAATCTAGAGCATGCGCATTGAATACTTAAGTCATCGATGTACCTTTTGCACAACCGCAGCAACTCCATTCTGTACGACACCAAGGGAAAGTGTTTTCATATCGTCCACCAGCGAGGGGAAAGAATGTTCTTATGTAGGACCATTTACAACAGGAGCCACAGGAACTATAAAAATATTAAAGTATTTCGTATGAGGAAAAATCAATCGGATTGGTGATTTCAGTGCCACAAGTTAAGCCGTTAAAGAGTGAGCTTACTATCTTCATCAAACGAAAGCAATTGATCAGTTGTTGGTGGCTTAGAAACTCGTTTATTCTTCGGAGCATCATCGGATTTCTTCGTTTCGACCTCAATACAGAATATTGTGATTAATTGTACAGTTCATATGTGAAAAGCTGAATTACAAACAGTGGTATACATATCCTTTGAAAGTGCACAGTAATTTATCTCACTTTTTCGCTGGCGTTTCTTGCGCGTCACTCTCCTGTGACGAATCGCTTTCCGAGGACTCGGCGTCGCTATCCGAAGACTCTTCACTCGTTTTCGACTCGATGCTGCTCTGACTTTCTGATTTTTTCGACTCTTTGCTCTTTCATTCTTTTCCTTTCGTCGTCGCTCTCTTGGCTTTCTGAAAAGCGAAATTGAATGATACAAAACTGAGGAGGGGTATAGAGGAAAATGAAAGGCACGCTTTTAAACGCATGACGTTTGCAAGAGATTTTTATTTATTTATTCCTTAATAAGTCTATATCACATACTATGGAGTAGACTTATGTTTATCCGACAGGAAGCAAACAGATTTTCCTGGGGGTTGCATTAATGTGCTGGCAAAGGTTTCCAGGCCGGGCTTTGCATTGTGAAGTTGTAAATAAGTTAAACCCTTATACTAAGTCTAACTGTTTGTCATTTTCAAGCGCACGATATTATAGTAGCCATTTCAAATTCTGGTGTGTACAGTACGTTCACTGGTACATTTCCACACTGCACCATCATGTAAAAAAAATGAGGTCTTGTCATGAGTAAACTATGTGACCATACATGCCAAAGACAAGGTCAAACTACGAAAACTTGAGGCGGGAACATTGCTTAGTAAATATTTAATCAGAGGAGCCATACAGCAATACACCATTAATGTACTCCCACCATTCGTTGGGAAGGGAGGATTGTTTTCTGTCAATACGTATATTGCCCGAGGAGCAATGCGGCAATACACCATTAATGTACCCCACCATTCGTAGGGAAGGGAGGATTGTTTTCTGTCAATACGTATATTGCCTGAGGAGCCATGCGGCAATACACCATTAATGTACCCCACCATTCGTAGGGAAGGGAGGATTGTTTTCTGTCAATACGTATATTGCCTGAGGAGCCATGCAGCAATACACCATTAATGTACCCCACCATTCGTAGGGAAGGGAGGATTGTTTTCTGTCAATACGTATATTGCCTGAGGAGCCATGCGGCAATACACCATTAATGTACCCCACCATTCGTAGGGAAGGGAGGATTGTTTTCTGTCAATACGTATATTGCCCGAGGAGCCATGCGGCAATACACCATTAATGTAACCCACCATTCGTTGGGAAGGGAGGATTGTTTTCTGTCAATACGTATATTGCCCGAGGAGCCATGCGGCAATACACCATTAATATACCCCACCATTCGTAGGGAAGGGAGGATTGTTTTCTGTCAATACGTATATTGCCTGAGGAGCCATGCAGCAATACACCATTAATGTACCCCACCATTCGTAGGGAAGGGAGGATTGTTTTCTGTCAATACGTATATTGCCCGAGGAGCCATGCGGCAATACACCATCGCGAAAACCCCGGTATGTGTAGGCAAATATTGTGCTGGTAGCGATCTATATTTTCTATGACTGTGAATATAACGGTACTATAGATATCAATTTTAACAGCATACCACGTGATCTCTTACCTGTTTCCGATCCAGGTAAAGACTCCATGCTAGATTTACTGACGCTCTCGCTGCCTTCATCGCTCTCACTTTCACTTCCGCTGCTTCCACTTGAACCGGAGCCTGTGGGAACACGATGCAAAAATAGGCACGCAGTGCGTACAAAAGGGTAGCCTTGCTTAACACAAATGATTTATTCAGCCAAACTGTGCATATTTGGTTATATATATATAAGCTTGAAGATTGGTAACCAAAGCATTATTGTTGAAATTAAATAAACTTAATTACGCGTCCAATAGGAAAAGACTTGGAGGAAGAACGCACCTGATTCAGATTCCGACGCAGAGTCGGATTCAGATTCACTTGAGTAAAATGTAGACTTTTTCTTTGATCTTGACTTCGATTTAGATTTCTCCCACAACGGCTCGACCTACATAAACATATCGATAAAATGTTGAATCACACAATCAAAACATAATCATGGGATATGAACGATCACAAACCTCGACGTTTCTAACAGAGGGATCGGGAGGGACCTCGGGGTATTCGGGAAGTTCTTGATAGCCAGACGCTCGTGCGTTTATGAGATGAGAGAGAGAGCCGACGATGAACTCACCATGACCTTATAGAGAAGAACATTAGCTGCATGGATTGACACTAGATACTACAGCATATACAGAGACCTAAGAGGCAATGCTTGATCTTTCCTAATAAAGATACTAGATACAAGTTTCAACATCACTACTAATGAAGAGAGTAAACTGAGATACATAAAGACTCAGGTTTCAACATCATATCCTTCCTGGTGAGGATACTAGACTAGAATGTAGGACTCAAAATGCAAAATCAAATCACTCCTAATAAAAACACTACACTGAAGAATATATTGGAGTGAAGTCGTAACATCAGATGACTCCTGATGAAGACACTAGACTGGAGTGCACAAGGACTCAAGTTTTAACATCAGATCACTACTAATGAAGACACTAGACTGGAGTGCATAAGGACTCAAGTTTTAACATCAGATCACTACTAATGAAGACACTAGACTGGAGTGCACAAGGACTCAAGTTTTAACATCAGATCACTACTAATGAAGACACTAGACTGGAGTGCACAAGGACTCAAGTTTTAACATCAGATCACTACTAATGAAGACACTAGACTGGAGTGCACAAGGACTCAAGTTTTAACATCAGATCACTACTAATGAAGACACTAGACTGGAGTGCACAAGGACTCAAGTTTTAACATCAGATCACTACTAATGAAGACACTAGACTGGAGTGCACAAGGACTCAAGTTTTAACATCAGATCACTACTAATGAAGACACTGGACTCAAGCATTTAACAGCCTTGACTGAAGACCTTCCTTCACCTTTGAAAGATGACTCTAACACGGGAGGTGGTTTGGAAGCCAGCAATATCTTCTTGGAGTGTTTAACAATCTGTCCCACCTGAAATACACACGAGAACAAATAAATCGACGCCATTGGAACATGTCATTCGAGTGCTATATTATACATTAAACAAAGTATTCGTAAAAAAAGAACCGCTGTCCAAAACAAACCGAAGTTAATAACTGTAAATCACATTCTAATGGCAAAAGTTTCTCCATTTACTATTGGTTTGAAGATGCTAAAATCAAACTTTCGATATTATAATAGTTTAAATTTATAGCTCAAAACCAGTGTAGTAAGGAAGTTCATACTTGGTAAATATGGTATACGGTATAATAATGGTAAATAATTTAATTTCGAAACTTTGGACGACGAAGTTCAAATCTCGATTGGTTCATTAAAATTTCTTTAACGCAATAAAAACAAACAGGAAATATAGATATGTTTCTTATCTAATAAGTGAATGCCTTAGATAAATTATATTAGATAAAATACAACCCAGCCAATGATTGAATATTTGAGATAAAACACAACCTAGCCAATGAGTGAATGTCTTAGATAAAACACAACCTAGCCAATGAGTGAATGTCTTAGATAAAACACAACATAGCCAATGAGTGAATGTTTTAGACAAAATATGACCTAGCTAATGAGTGAATGCTTTAGATAAAACACAACCTAGCCAATGAGTGAATGTTTTAGACAAAATATGACCTAGCTAATGAGTGAATGCTTTAGATAAAACACAACCTAGCCAATGAGTGAATGTTTTAGACAAAATATGACCTAGCCAATGAGTGAATGCTTTAGATAAAACACAACCTAGCCAATGAGTGAATGTTTTAGACAAAATATGACCTAGCTAATGAGTGAATGCTTTAGATAAAACACAACCTAGCCAATGAGTGAATGTTTTAGACAAAATATGACCTAGCTAATGAGTGAATGCTTTAGATAAAACACAACCTAGCCAATGAGTGAATGTTTTAGACAAAATATGACCTAGCCAATGAGTGAATGTTTTAGATAAAACACAACCTAGCCAATGAGTGAATGTTTTAGATAAAACACAGCCTAGCCAATGAGTGAACGTTTGAGATGAAATATAATCTATCCAATAATTCAATGTTTTCGATAAAATATACAATAAAAAAGTTCTAAAATTAAACCTTCTCTCCGGGAAACACAATGGGACGTAAAAATCGCGCTCGATCCCTTATATCGTAGCTCTGGTCATATTTGGCGAGATTTAATACATATTGACACAACTGCTGAGTCTACAGAAATAGAAGTGGTACGCAGCTTAGTAAGTCAAGCTACGACTAGAAGTGTGAAAAAAATAAAAAATATAAACAGTATATTAAGTAAAAAAGTAAATGGTTTGAACCCGGGAGTATCGTTACATGTTTATAAATGTAGATCATCCAGGTTAGTATAGTCCTGAGAAGGACTGTTTTTGTTGTTGTTGACTGACGTTTCGACAACCTTAGCGGTAGTCATCTTCAGAGTCAAATGAGGAGTAAACGTCAGGTTAGCCGTATTTGTTATCTGGTTCTTACGTCATTGTATTGTGTGTACAGGAAATGTGTGGATGTCAATTGTGTATTACCCAATGTGGATTAGTGTGAAGTTTAATGTTTTTAGTTGATCGTTTGTTTGTATTGTGCACCTTACAAACGATTTATTAATAAGTATAAACGTGTTCAGAAATCAGTTGGTAAAAACTTGAAATTTAAGAAAATTTCTAAGTTTGGAAAGGTTCAAAACACAGTCCAACCTGTATTAAGCGCGCCGTATTAAACGGTGGCCGTATTGTACGAATCCAGACTAGAATCCCTCCCCTTCCTCCTCACCCAACCCAGGAATAGATCTCACCATCATGGATGTATTCCTGAGTTGCTGCCAATATATAAATTGATCACCCTAATTCATAATTATAAAGTATTTTCTTCAAGTGGCAAACCTGGTTTGGATTGATTAGAATTAATTTCGCACCAAGATTGATGATTTGTAATTTCACAATATCCTCCTGAAAACAACGGAAAAAAACATTGAAACACTCTTTTAAAAACATTTGTCGAAAACATGAAGAAATTTCGAGACAAGTTATGCCGAAATGTTGAAATCCATAACTCACAAACCTCCTTTGTGAATGACTTCGCGGCTATTCTCAGTACATCCGGGGCAACTTTTGGAACACGTTCCGCATATTCACCGACGAGCCAAATGATACTGGCACGAGCCATGGGAACCTGCGTGGAACATGGGGAGTAATGTCTTGAAGATTGGGAATAATGCTTGGAAGATAGAGAGTAAAGCTTGGAAGATAGGGAGTAATGCTTGGAAGATAGAGAGTAATGCTTGGAAGATAAGGAGTAATGCTTGGAAGATTGGGAGTAATGCTTGGAAGATAGGAGTATTGCTTGGAAGATAGAGAGTAATGCTTGGAAGATCGGGAGTAATGCTTGGAAGATTGGCAATATTGCTTGGAAGATTGGGAATAATGCTTGGAAGATAGGAGTCATGCTTGGAAGATAGGGAGTAATGCTTGGAAGATTGGGAATAATGCTTGGAAGATAGGGAGTAATGATTGGAAGATAGGGAGTAATGATTGGAACAAAGGGAGTTATGCAAATTATAAAGATTACATACCGTAATTTTATTCAGTATTTTCGTCATTTGTATGATTATTTGAGATTTATCTTTATGCTAAAAGAAATGAATAACAGCCATCCATCATAATACGTACGTTTATCGCAATCAAGATAAAGACAACGACAAAATTACCTTTAATTGTAATAATTTTTTTATCATTACAACGCTTTCAGCCACCACCGTTTCTAAAGTAAAGAAATTGACGTCTGACATGTATACATCAACTTCAACAAGATAAATTTTCATTCATTTGTAAATCTAAATGAGGATCCAAGGATAGTGCAGAGTTTAAAAAGACACACTACATTTTGACTCGTAATTTCAATTAACCATAACATGTTTTGCACATTTATTTGATTACGGTATCAACTTCCATTTCATTTATATTACTAGGCCTTTAATGACCGAGCGCGAGGTCTTTACGGAGAAATAACGGACCGAGGTCTTTTTGTACAGACCGAGCCCGTAGGGCGAAGTTTGTACAAAAAGACTGAGGTTCGATATTTCTCAGTAAAGACCGAGAAAGCGAGGTTATTAAAAGGATTATTATATGGCATTATTTGACCTGAAACGAAGCTTGCTTTCTTTCTCGTCTTTACTGTTTTTACCCGTCGGCTTTCACTTTTCTAGTTTTCGTCCATAAAAAATAAATCGTTTCAAATTGTATCCTCTGGATAGTTTAACTGTTTTCCAAGTATTTTTCCTTCGAATCTCATTCGTAAATGTTTTTTTGTTTCGTTTATTTTGCGTTTTGCTGTTTGCATTACGAAGTTTGTTTACACTTGACTGTTAAATTACGCGTTTATGGACCTTGGTCCATTACGGGAAAATAATGGACCAGCAAAAATGTTTCTGAGCCAATCAAAGCGCGCCATTTTGCCATACAACAATGCTTTTAATAATAATAACGTTATTATGCATTGTTGGAGATTTGCATCCGTAAATTTCATTATGAAATCAGCAAGCCCATTGCCAAACGTAAAAATAGTGTAAAAAACACTTGGTATAAAATGAAAAAGCGAAAATCCAAGTTTTAAAGATCTCGCGTTGGCCTGTGCGTGCATTACAATACCAATTTTGCTTCAGGGTGATTATAGTTTTTGTGAACAAGGCCTGCTTTGAAGGATATTTAACAGCAATTCCCAAGATCGGTTAAGAAGGTATTTGTAACTTACTATTCCTATTGCATAGATAGCAGTTAACCTGATCAGTTAAACAGGTATTGTTATAACTTACCTTCCTATTGGATAGCAATCTAACTCGACCGGTTAAACAGGTATCTGCAACTTTCCATTCCTATTGGATAGCAGTCTAACTAGACCGGTTAAACAGGTATCTGTAACTTCGGGAATGTTCGATGCACAACGGCCAATGGCTTGTATCGTCGACGCAACGAACTCTTTGTCCGAATTGTTGATGTAATTCTGCAACGAGAACGATGAGATGTAAAAAAGGCCAAAATGGGGCAACTACGTATGAAGAGGATAAAAGTATATATGATAAGGGTAACTAGGTTTTGTTTATTTGATCTTCCGTAATTACAGTGCTCGATGCGTTACAGCGGAGCATAATTATATTGTTAAGAAGAAAATTCATAAAACTACAATTTCATCTCGACTAGCCTGTTTCGTGATTTCTCACTCTTCAGGAGATAATAATAAATGCATGTGTCTAACTATATATACAAGAGGAAGTTAGGGTAAAAATTAAGGTAGAACTACATACAAGCTAGGTGTACGATTACAAATTACATTAAAGTGCCTTGAGTCTATGGCGACAAGAGGAGACAAGTTCGTTACGTTTGTTGAGAGATGATAGTTGTGGTTGGTAGGTGATAAAGGATTTTTCTTTCAGGCATAGGTTGCATCTTTTGTTGGCGCTGTTGTACGGTTTGCTGTGAGTAATGATGTTCCATGAGATATCGTGAGCGATGTTGTTGTCTTTAAGTGTCCATATGTGTTTACTGAGTTTGGTTAAGTTTCTTAGTTTTTGTGGCGGAAAGAGGCAGTGGGGTTCCTGTGTCGAGTTTTAAATTCCTTTTCTGTAAGTCCGATGTAGGTCTTAGTTGTGTTAGTGTCCAAACGTTTAACAGTTGCTTGGTAGATGACAGATGATTGTAGGCAGTTTCCGTTAAGTGGGCAGTTTTGTTTCTGTCGGCAGTTGCATGTTTTAGTTTTTTTGTCATTGATGGTGTCATTAGTACTGTCAGGTGCTCTCACCTGATAAGGGTAACTATGTATTTTGAAGGATAAAGGGCAGCTATGTATGTTCGTGCAATTAGGGTAACTATGTATTTTAAAGGATAAAGGGCAGCTATGTATGTTCGTGCAATTAAGGGTAACTGTGTGTGAAGAGATTAACCACTATATATGATGAGGATCAATTTTAAAGAGAGAAAAGTTTTAAGGTAAAGGAACTCTGTGGGAGGTGACGCAGAAACAAGAGGTTATTGACGAACAAATATTGTAGCTCTTCAAACTATAACTGCAACTATACAAAGTAACGTTCAGAAAATACACAAATATCTTCAATATGACAGACAAGTTTTCATCTCGATGAAGAATATTTAAAATTTCAAAATGGGCAATTTCTTGAAACATCTCAACAAAAAAATATTACCTGAAATTCCCGCAATAGCAACGTTATATTACTTTCCGAAGCGATGTTCGTCATTATTTCAAGCTAAAAAAATACAAAATACCGTTGAATCTTCAAGATTATTCTCATGTTAAACACAGATACACGTGTATATTACATAAATTTTTTATCGTCTACAACAACTGTCATGGACTCTCTTTTTAACATAAATGTCTGCATGCTTAGTTTTGGATTCATTGAAGTTTTTGTGGTAGATAAATAAGGGAATGTACGTTCAATCGTTTCCTAATGAGAATAATTCGTAACTTCCATTTATTTTCACTAAAAATTAAAACTTCCTTTAAGGGGCTGTTTACATGAGCCCTACAGGGAAGGTTGGCCCTTCCGAGATCTCGCGTGCAGTTAAATTTCCACATAAAATCACTCTTCGTTTACATGAGAGGTAGGCCAGCCTTACCAGCCGAGATCTTGCTATTGTTTACCCGAAATCTCGCCATGTAGGGCTGAGAATGTCAATGTAAACGCATTCAGCAGGGCTAGCCCTTCCTGTAGGGCTGAAAATTGAAAGGATTTTCATGCCTGCGATAAGGCATCGCTTTTCAGCAATGGCGACAACAAAATGCATCAACGACGTAAAAAAGCGTAAAAAATCAAAAGACGACAACTATATTGGTTTGTTTTCAGCTATTTTGTATTTTAGCGCCGAAATTCGCAGTTCAAACAGAGCTCTTGATGTATGGCTAGAATTTGCATGTAAAAGAAAGGTAGAATACAGCCCTACAAAGAAGGCTAGCCCTTTCCGTAGGGCTCATGTAAACAGCCCCTAAGTAGGGGACCACTTTACTAAACAATACAATAGTTTTAACAAAGTACAAGCAGGTTTGCGGTACAACAACGAAATAAAACATGATTCAAAAATCCAGAAAACGGCCAAGCATAAATTATTCAATGTGTGTACATATCGCCAAAACTTTAATAACTCCACAAGTAAGCATGTCAAGATTAGCGTTAAAAACAAAGTCAAATGCGGAAGATTGATTGTTCAAAGACAAGAAAAAATCGTGTCAAGGGCACTTAAGCAGATCAAGTTAACGTACATCAGAGATCAGAAGTAAAATACATAAAGTCTGATATAGACATGTAGTCAATCGTCACCTGCTTACCTTAAATGTTTTGATATATTTTGAGTCGTTGGAATGAACGAAGAAACTTTTCAGATGCGCTTCAAACATTCCCTAGAAGATTTACAAATAAGGAAATTGCTTTAAACGACAGAAATTAAACCAATTTAGGCACATGCAACCAATGCAACGAAAGACACGGAAATCAAATGAAAATCACCTTCCTTGTCGATGATAATGTTGCTATATTGCTAAGAACGACATATTGAACTTCTCTAAAGAAAAAACCATCCAGTATCATCAAAGAGGTCAGTGCCAAGTATTATTGACGACCAACGAAATCTGAGAGAACTGTTTTTGTTCAATTATTGTGTAACTATACATTTGAATTAAAAAATAAAAGATATTTACTGTGTTTGTACTAGCTTATATGCAAACCGAGGAGACCTTTGGGAGAACTTGAAAACAGATCAGTGCAAAACCGAGATCGAAAGTCGTGAGTTTTCTCCTGCTCACGAGTTCTCACTAACCCCTCAAAGGTTTGCATAAGCCAGTGCCAACACGTAAAACATCGTTTATTTCTTTTATAAAATAACAATAATGCGAAAAAGACAAATTTGAAACAAACGCTTTGACCTTTCCTCTAACATGTATTATGATTGATTTGTAAAATTTCTTTGATGCATTTAGTTGATTAAGCTCAGATCGGTTTGCATAGGCAAATGGAAATTCACTTCTACACCAATCAGCGTACGCGTTTTATTGTATTTATTCTATAATGATTAATATGAGAGCTAAGTGATTGTGAAAGTTTGAGAATGTTTGAATTTAAATGTAGAATATCACTGGTCGACAAAGATGCGTGGAAAGATCAACAAAACGATGCGCATTGCATATTTGGTCAGGATACTTAGATCGGCGAAAAATAATAATCAGCTCGAGCAATGCAAAAAAAAATAAACTTGAGTTTGTTGAAATAAGTCATTGATTTGAGGAGTAACTTACGAAGACTGGAAACTAGTTAGCTATATCTACGGACTTACGCAAAATAAGGCGCGTCAACGCATTGTGCGTCAATCAAAGTCTGGCAGCCATTTTGTGGGTCGAGAAAATGGAGGATTTTGTTATTGTACAAATGCAACTTAGAACAAACGATAATACGTAATTACTGTAAAATAGAGTTTTTAAGTAAATTTGAAAACTTGTGATATGAAATGGCGTCTTTGCCTACGCGTGGACGGCCAAAATTTGATGTTCAATAACATCGGATTCGTTTACGGATGGACGTATGTATACAAAGAGTGGTTAAAACAAAAAAAACTTTGCTGGATGGGCAGAACAGACGCACAGTGAATTTACTTCTCCTTTACATGAAATCTTGGGTGAAAAGAAACGTGTAGTTTGTCCTACACCAATAATATCCCCATCAAATGTTTATGGATGAAGATCGTCCAGGTTAGTTGAGTCCTGAGATGGAATGTTGGTATTGATGTTGACTGACGTTATGACAACCTTAGTGGTAGTCATCTTCTGAGTCAAGGGAGGAGTAAACGTAAGTTGTCGAAACGTCAGTCTACATTAACAACAACAGCCTTTCTCGGGACTCAACTAACCTGGACGATCTACAACCACAAACATGTGATGGGGATATTATTTTACCATTTACTTTAATATCTATCCACAAACCATTTACTTTAATATCTTCATCAATACCAAAAAGTAACGATGTAAACATAAATAAATGCGCGCAATGCATGTTGGTTGAGACGTTTTTTAATGTACACGTGATTTAAACTGCACAAACCTGTGTCCTTTGAGAAGCCTTACGAGCGCTCTCGTTACAACTCCAACTTCACAAGCAGGGGCACAATGATGATAGAGTCGAGCGACAGCCAATACAACCTAAAAATCACGTGAAAGACAAACGGTTTTATTAGTTTTAAAACTGGTGAAAGGTCAAGTTAAAAAAGTACCGCTGGTATAAAAATCGTTTGAGCAACTCGATGATTTAGAACCCAGTCCTCTAGATGTCTAACTACCGTGTCAAGGTGAGGTAAGGACGCCATCTTCAAAGGTGGCAAAATACAAAACTCGAGTTGAAAAAATATTTAAAAGAAAGTTTGAAAAACCAATCTTATCAAACATTCTAAACATCAAACCAGGACTAACAACTCTGTAACTGTACATATCAACACAGGAAAAGCAGACATTAGTCGTAAATATCGTCAGTTTTGCCACCTTTCAAGATGGCGGCTTGCCTCACTTGTAACTAAAAAATTTGGGGGGAATCATATATTTGGTATATTGGATTCTAGGTCATTGAGGCATCTCAATGAGCAAATATGATGCTTGAATAGCCTGTAGCAATTAGCAAAGATAGCAGAAACACAAAGCAATACAGAGGTCTCGATCCGTGTAAATTGTTGTCGACCTTTCGTCAACAAAGTTCTCTATTTGTGGCAAAAGAGTACATAAAATGCATTTGCACTACAAAAGTGATGAACTGATCAATTGATATGCATTGCAGAAGAGTGGGATGGGGAAGAAGTCGATTCTTTTGTTTTAACAATAAAAGGAAGCATACATAGTGGATATTATCACTATCTTCAAAAAAACTACACCACGTAATACTCTTGGGGAAAATCAATATCAAACACTTATATGTATATTACACTGGATAACGCATCCATGTATAAAATATAGTAAGATAATTGAAGCCGGAGTTGGATCATCTGATTATGACCTTCGCGGGGGTATCGGTCCCACTTTACTATACTTTTGTATTACAAAATCACAGTTTTGGCGTTCTTGCTTCAATTTTCGCAAGAGATGCGTTATCAAGTTTAATATTCATATCAGTGATATCAAACAGCACTATGGATAAAAATAACACCGCAAAAGCCCACAGTATCAAAGTATTCCAATAATGGCCGCGACTATTCAACTTACAGCAGAATTCCGGCTTTGCAGCAATGGCTTGGTGACACGCAAAATGAGGCGATGATCAGGATCCATTATGTATGGTTTCTTTTTATCACTTTTGTCATTCTTATCTTCTTCGTCGTCCTCGCTCTCTTGGGAACTTGGATAAAACTGTTCGTTTTCCGGTTCCTTAAAAAATAATGCATTTGAAATCTTTCGAGACCCGATAAAAAATGTTTCCAACACGCTCTTCCATATAGAAGGGTCAATATTGTTTTTAGCTCACTTCTTTCTGAAGTTCGCATGCAAAAAAGTGGAAGCACCATAGTTGCGTTCTTTTCCTCCATGGAAAATATTTTCAAAACATTTACGTGAAGTCGAACAGCAGTTTAAAAGACACAAGACGCCTATCAGGTGTTCACAAGGGCTTCGAGAACAGAGTTTGGTTTTGTGCTTATTATATTAGTTGCTAATAACACAACAAAATTCACGGCAATGCAATCTCACATTTCGCAATATATTAGCGTGTCAAACATGTTTCATTTTACGCGTCATTAGTGACATTCACGCATGAAACGATCCAAGAAACATTTTGATTGGCTCACGGACTTCGTGTCAGTCACGCGTGAATCGTCTTACCTCCCGACAGCATGGGAAAATCCGATTTTTTAACGCTAGTAATGAACAAAAAAGTGGAAGCAAAACAATTGGCCAACAACGCTGAACCACAGTATATTGAATATACAGTAGAGCCACTAAATCCAATTTTTTTGTGCGACGCATATCTTATTACGCATGTGATTACCATAGTGGCAACCGTTCGATTTTGCAATAGAAACGATGAAACGGCTAACGGCAGTCAGTAATC